ACCTTTCATTAGCTTTGAAATACCGACATAGATGATTCGATGAATATATTGACATATTTTATCAACTCATAAGCAGAACAATCATCATATTGTGTAAAAGCACCGTATATTGAAATTGATGCAGGACAAGAAAGCAAGCATTGGCATTGATTAAGTCATTCTGAAAGTTAGTTCAAGAGCTAAAATACCTTGTCGTTCCAGAATATTCCATCTCTACAAGCTATAAGAGTGCAACACTGCAAATGCGTGTAGAATCTTGATTAAATTTCATTGCAGTATAACTTAACACAAGTTTCAACGCGAAACAAAGGCAAAAATCACGCACAAAGAAAGACAAAGATAGTGTTGAATTTATAATTGCTCGACACTAATGCAAGGATTCATCAATCTGTTTAAAGTTAGAATCCCAATACTATTACAAAGGAATAACTTCAGCGTAAAAACACTACACGCACTGGCAAGTCATGATAGTGCAAGAGACAAACCTTGAATGAAGAACAGGAATCGAAACTTTTTGTATAATGCTCCCAATAATAACAGCTTCCCTAAGATTGCATGTTCTTGAATGCTTAATAAAAAGGACCAAACTGCATCAGTATAATCTTTCATCTCTACCAAAGGCCCAAAAAATCAGGATATCAAACTAGGTGGTTAAGCATGATAAGTTGAGAATCGTGTACCTCACATAGGGGAAAGAGTATTCCTTTAAAAAAGGCAGCAGGCTTGTACAAACACTTTTTCAGGGATTAATAGAGAGCAAAATGCAACCGCTTATTCTTCCGAATATCCTCTCTGACCCGTCGTAGCAAGAAAAGCTTGTAAAAGCGTTCCACCTCCCAAATTGGAGGCAAAAATTCCAGTGGCCTGGAACATTGCATTAGGTGACCAATTCTGCTGCTCAGTCAAATACAAAGCATCCTCCCAGTTTGGCATTGAAGGAATGAGCTTAAATGTTTACGGCATATTACCAAATGTATTTTTATTGAGAAACTTGCCAAGTCTGTATAGCAAATTCAGTCCCACCTTCAGTCTCAAGGAGAGTATAAAATCATTTTTCATGGACAATATAAATATACACACACACACACACACACACACACACACACACTCACACACATATAGTAATCATACAAATAAACTAACAGTTTTACACATCTAAAGTAAGATAACTAAACATTTACATACCGAGGGTAAATTTCAATTTCAGTGGTTTCCATCTTAGGCAAGGGTTGTACTTCTGCAGCTAAAAAGAAGATATAAAAAAACCTGTTAAGTGTTACTGAGCTAAGAAATGTCGGAAAAAAAAACTGAGCAAATAATACGATCAGACCTGAAGAGACGTTAGCATCTTTCTCTTTGATTTTTGCAACAATAATATCAGCAAGAGTAAGGTATGAAGCTGCGTTCTCTGAAAAAAAAAAAAAAAGCACGCTAGTTTGTTCCCGCACAAGAAAACTGATCAGAGAAGATCAATTACACAATTTTCACCCCAAATTATAACAGAATCTATTGCTCTTTCCAAACAAAAAATTCCTTTTTAGGATTCTAAAGCGCTAATCAATTAACAATCGGTTCCGAAAATTGGACACAATAATCAGAGTAAGGAAATAGCAAAAATAACCAACCAACAAAAAGAAAAAAATCACTTCGTAATCGTCATTTTTACTGAAGTTTTTGATATCGTCGTCCTCTTCTAGTTCCTCGAGCACCGGCTCTGCGGCGACGTGCTCGTCCTCAATCTCCCTCTGCTGAATCAGAGCCTCCTTGAGGATTTTCGCGCTTATTCCGGACGACAGAAGAGTCTCCTCCTTCTGAAGCCACGTCGAACACTTCTTCGAAGACACCGAATAACCCTCGTCGACGAGGAAGGTTGCGGATTCTGGTTTCTCTCTCTTCTTCGCGCATTGATGAATCAATGAATCCCCTGTTTTTTTTTCGTCGTTTTCACGTTTTAATTGTCGTATTTATATTTTGTTTCCCTATTTGTTTCTTCGTTTTTAATTTCACAATCATAGAAGCGCTCGGCTATCTACCCTAGTTTTCAACTTTAAAAAAATAATTCAAAGCTATCCATAATAGTAATATGAAACTTTTTTGAGTAGGTCTTTTTACTGATAGTGTTTTTTTTACCATTAAATAGAGTTAAAATCACAAGTATGTAAAATAGAGAATTTGTTATATAAATTTAATAATTAAAAAATAAAAAATTATTAGTAATTTATTTTTTCTAATCCTATTAGAGAAACTAAAATAAGTAATTAATTATAATTTAAAATATAAATTTTAAGTTAACATTCTTCCAAAATATTGATTCGTGTCAACTTATTTCTCCATTAAAAAAAAGGGGATAAGTTGCTATAAAATCAATAATTTCATAAATATCTATGAACTTGCATTAATTCAAGATGTGTTTAAACAATTTTAGAGTATTCAAAGGATGAAAGATTCTTTTAAAAATTCCATTAGCATGTTGAGCTAGAATATATAAAATTTAAGGAGCATTATGAAATTAACTCTAGTTGAATGAAGAAATTGAATGATGTTGCACAATTTTTTTAACCGAAATAATTTCAAATCGGCAATGACAAAAGGAGTAACAAACTTGGGAATCATATGAATGTCCTGATCAAATTGAAAAGGAGAGGAAGAAGGATATGAGCAATAAAGTTCCCATCCCGCTAACATAAAGCCACATTGTCGAACAAAGAGTAATTTCTGAGAAATTTACATCTTAAAAAAGATACCAAAAAACAAAAAAAATTGTTTGCACTAAAACATAAAAATAACGAATATCCAAACTTTTATAGAGTTATATAACTCGCCAATACTTAGAAGGGATGTCTACGATTGTGGGAGTCCTTGTCTCTTATACAATGGGAATTGCATTCATTTTGTTTATTTTGGTAATGTGGGACTCTTAGTAATTTTCAAAATGAAACTTCTTATTTTGACGTTGAAAATCGATATTATTCTCACTTTATAACGTATCATTTATTTCATTGGTGTTTTTATCCCAATCCCACCAATTAGGAATATGTTAATGACAAATAAATTAGAAACAGTTAATCCAGATTTAATAATTAAGACAGTTGAAATTAAATACACTCCCTAAGATAAAAAAAAGAATTTGAAATTCAAATTAAAGAACTTCTAGATCTCAAAGTAATAAGACCAAGTAGTAGTCCTCATCGATCAGCAGCACTTATGGTTAGAAATCATGCAGAAATTATTAGAGAGAAAGCTATTATGGTAATAAATTGTAAGAGACTTAATGATAATAAGAATTACTCATTAATAGAATTACAGTCAGCAAGAATATTTTCTAAGTTTGACTGTAAGTTACGATTTTGGCAGATTAGAATGAAGGAAGACAGTATTCCATGGACAACATTCAGTTATTCAGGACATTTTGAATGGCTTGTCATGCCATTTGGATTAAAGAATACTCCTAGTATATTTCAGAGAAAAATGGATAAGATTTTCAACACTCCAGAGTTTTCTGAAGTTTGCCTATAGTTTATATAGATGATGTTCTAGTCTTCTCTCAAGATTCAGAAACCCATTATGATCACGTGTATAAGATTTTCAACAAATTTTTGGAACAAGGTATTATTATTTCAGAGAAGAAGATGAAACTAGGACAACAATACATAGAATTTTCAGGCCTTGAAATAGGACAAGGGAAAATCAGATTACAAGAACATATAGCAAAAAGTACTTTGGATAGCCCAGATGAATTTAAAAGCAAGAAAGAATTAGAGAGTTTTTTAGGAAGAATAAATTATGTTAGACCATTCCTTAAGGACATAGGTAAGCTAGTCAGTTGCTTATATCATAAAATCAACTGATCTATAGTCAATTAAAGGATTGTCGGTTCCATTAAAATTTAAAAATTTGAGCCACAAGATTCTAGCGTTGTTTATTTTTCTTTAAGAAGGCCATGATAAGTGCGAAATTGAATCACTCATTTTTAAGTGTGAAATTGAATCACAACAACTTTTTAGAAACAATTTTAATACTAATATAATAGCATATTAATTATTACAATAATTCTCACTTTTATACTATAAAATATTTTACAGTAAGCATTCTAATGTATTAATTTTTGCTATTTCATGTTACGTTAAACAAACGGCATATTACGTTTTTACTTTCATAGACAAACTATTTTAAGTGTGTAATGATGACGTGACCATCTCAATTGTGAGGCCATGGACAAACTATCTTATATACCTATATACTAAGAATGAAGCGTTTCGCACGGCATTTTCGCACACTGCCATGAGAAAAGTGTTTTTTTTTTTTTTTTTTTTTTTTTTTTTTTTTTTTTTTTTTTTCTTCCTATTTCCACCTTTTTTTAAGTTCAACCTTTTTCCTCTTTTTTTTCGTTCTTTTTAACATTTTTATCTTTTTTGCCCTATTATATTTTTTTTTTGTCATCCTCTTTTTTTTTTTTTTAATCTTATCCTTTTTATCCTATTATATTTTTTTTTGTCATCCTCTTTTTACTTACAAAATCTCAGCGCGTGCAGTTTCGAGCAGTTAGTATACATATGCATTACAACTTTGAACTCGAATTTTTGATGCAATCCCAAGAATCAAGAAATGTGAACTTCATGAAATAGTTTAGGAGAACAGGAAAAATCCTGACCTTTTGATTCATAAATTTGAACGGAAATTCAAAACTTTATAAAGAGAATATATTACAACAAAAAGGTTTGAACTTTGGACTAAACTGTGAACGAGATGCCTGGATTTATGCTATTTTGGTGATGGATGATTCTTGTCAACAAAAAGAACCAACTAAACATCATCACTCGTCGGTATTATCCCTCTTTAAAGTGACCAACTGGGTACCGATAAATTCACCTGCCTGTTAGAATTCACCAGCTTTACGACTTAGAATTCATAAACCTATGTCAGGTTTCATAAGCAAAGGATCGGGGAATTGATATATATATATATATATATATATATATAAATATTTATTCTTGAGCACAAAATTCATGAATAACAAGATCAGGATTACAAAAAAATTAAACTCTTGGGCCCTTACATAAATTCAATATGCACACATTGGAAGCTCCTTAAAGAATAACTTAGAATCAACAAAAAAAAACAAAAAACACTGGAAAGCGCAAAATTGATGTGTTCTCCCAGGAAACCATGTATACTTTTAGTCGCAAATTCTGTTACCGCTCATCAGTCCGCAATTTCTGTTACCGCTCATCAGTCCGCAATGGCAACACCAAATATCTAAAAAGGCCCGAACTCCATAAGATACTGCTCACGCCGATTATCTGGCTAAGATGATAGAGAGCCTTCCAAACCCTGCAATCCCTTAACAGTAAGTTAAAAAGAAAATAAAATATAGATAAAAAACGTAAGAAATGTACGATAAGCAAATACCATACCGAGCAATTAATCAGTCCTCTTCCATAGGTACCTCTGGAATGTCAAACCTATCTTCTTCAATAGTCTTGTTGATCACAGAAATGGGCGAAGGTAATATGAAGTCAAGGAGACAGAAGTTATTCGTTCGTTAAATAACTAACTTATTAGACAGACCACGATACGTCCAAAACTAGTACAATTTTATGTTCAGTTCAATCTAAAAGAAACTTTGATCTAATAATAAACAAAAACAAGTACTTGAACAAAGGATATCAATCGACATAAGATCATCCTCCTTCTCACCCCGATTGCGGCTATTGTTTAGCTCCCTACTAATTTCAGGTGTAACCTACATTTAACCAGGGAAAAAAAGAAATTATATATTACCAAGAAGTTACGTGGAAAGAAATAGAAAGGAAACTACTTTAGAGAAATGATCTCACTAGCTTATGCTTCTGCTTTTCAAGAAGCGTTCTCAAGTTTTCTTTATCTTCCCTCTGCAGACCATTCTTATACCTGCATGCAATCGCACCCAACTGTATAAGCGGTAAAAGAAACATGCCATTCATAAACATTTAAAACTAGCAGGTAACACGAAATATGTAGAGTTAACTGTCAGTGAACCAGTAGTTTTTGTTTTTCACGAATATAGAATCCATTTAGAAATAATAGGAACTCCTAAAAATTTGCTAACCTTTGAACAAATGCAAGAAGCGACTGGTGCCATATCACAGGCACTATCCTCGTATCATCCAAAAATCTCATAAAATGAGCAACAAGAGCATCAAGTGCCCGATATGGAAGAGCATATTTTTTCTCCAAAAGAAGCTTTATAAAGTAACTGCAGGAATACAAAACGCAACTCTGTCAAGTAGTTTTTAAAGAAAAGTCTAAACATAAACCCGGAAATGTGCTAATTGAAAAGGCTTTAATACTTATTCCAAGGTATATATTTCCTTCAATCAATATCATTCAACTGCTTTGACCACTTCAAATAAGATTGACTGCTGAATAATCTGTCTCTACTCAAGGAACTACCATTCTTTAGTTCTTTTTATCTTAAATTAAACTTATGGTATAATGAAAATAGATATTATAAATTCTACGTCAACTTTTCTATAATACCAGATCCGTTTTATATTTGTCATCTTTAATTAGTTTTGAAATATTGACATAGCAGAATATTTTATCAACATATGTTATCAAACTTATAAATGGAACCATCTTCACATTGCAAAAGCACCCTTTGCAAGTGCTGTGGGACAAGAAAGCAAGCTTGGCATTGATCAACTCATTCTGAATTACTAAAAGTTAGCTCAAGAGCTACATACCATGTTGTTGGCGTTGATTTAACAAAAACATAAATAAATAAATACATCTGCAAGGGCTAATAGTTAGCTCAAGAGCTAAATACCTTGTTGTTCCACAATATTCCATCTCCGCAAGTTTTAAAAGTCCAACACTGCAAAAACATGCGAAGCTTGATTAAATTCCATAGCAGTACAAACTCACCAAAAACAGACATAGACACACACACACACACACACACACACACACAAAACAAAACAAAAACAAAAAAAAACACAAAAAAAAAAGAAAGAAACGAACGCATGTTCACAAGGTGATATAACTTCATACAAGTTTCAGCGAAAAGAAAGACAAAATCCCACACATAGAAAGACAAAGAATAGTAAACTTATAATTGCTCAACACTAATGCAAGGATTCATCAATCTATTTAAAGTTAGAATCCCAAAACTGCTACAAAGGAATAACTTCAGCATGCAACATCACACGCTTCTATAAATGATGATAGTGCAAGAGACAAACCTTGAATGAAGAAGAGGAATAGAAACTTTTTGTACGATGCTCCCAATAATAACAGCTTCCCTCAGATTGCATGTTCTTGACTGTTTAACAAAAAGGGAAAAATGCATTTGAATGATCTTTCATCTCTGCCCAAGGCCCAAAAAAAAAAGGATATTCAAACTAGGTGGTCGAGCATGATAAGTTGTGAATTGAGTACCTCACATAGGGGAAAGAGGATTCCTTTAAAGAAGGCAGCGGGCTTGTACAAACTCTTTTTCAGCGATTGATAGAGAGCAAAATGCAACCGCTTATTCTTCTGAATATCCTCCCTGACCCGGGGGAGCAATACAAACTTGTAAAAGCGTTCCGCCTTTTTAACACCCAAATTGGAGGCAAAAATTCTCGTGGCTTGGTACATCGCGTTAGGCGACCAATTTTCCGGCTCCGTCAAATACAGGGCATCCTCCCAGTTTGACATTGAAGCAATGTGCTTCAATGCTTTGGGCATTTTACCAGCTGTATATTTATTGAGAAACTTTCCAAGTCTGCACAACAAGTTTAGACCCATCTTCAGAAACTTAACTTTATGACAAAAATACATATTGCACAAACAAAATCACTAGCACTTCCTCTCATCTAAAGTGGGCAAGACTAGAGAAAAATGAAACTGCTATAAACTTTGTGATTCTTAACATTTACATACCCCTTGTATAAGTCAATGATAGAGCTGTCCATCTTAGGCAAAGGCCGTGCTGCTGCAATTGAAAAGAAAAAGCAAAAACAATCGTTATTCACTAGAAATAAGTAACTAAGGAATGCAAATGAAGCTAAACCTCTTGGAAACATAAACTTGAAAAAACAAATGATCAAAAAATATGCTCAGACCTGAAGAGACATTAGAATCGTTCTCCTTAATTTTTGCAACAATAATATCAGCAAGTGTACGCTGCGGAACTGCGTTCTCATTCGACATGAATGCCTCCAGTAATCTCTCATCCTCTTCATCAATGTCCTAAAACAAATTCCCAAAAAATGTCATAAGAAACATACTTTTTTGTTCCCACACCAAAATATATATATATATATATGTATATATATATTTGAGTTCACACCGATAAGCAGAGAATCCGTTTATTTTTCCAACAAAAAATTTTCATTTTAGGTTCGAAAGCTAATCAATTGAACATTGGTTCCAAAAATTGGCCATAATCAGAATTAAAAATAAAATAAAATATTAAAAAAAACTCACTTCGTAATCGCCATAACGGCTATGAGTATCGTCAAAGCCTTTAAAGTCATCAATATCGTCTTCCTCTTCTTCGACGTCCTGGCGCACCGGCTTTTCAGTGACGGTTAACAAGGAATTGTTAGGGTTTTGAGCCTGGAGCTGCTCGTCCTCGATCTCCCTCTGCTGAAGCAGAGACTCCTTGAGAATCTTCGAGCTTATCCCAGACGACAGAAGCTTCTCCTCCTTCTGAAGCTGCTTTCGTTCCTCTCTTGACTTCGAACGTTTCTTGGAAGACACGGTATCATTGTCGCCGGCGAGGAAGGGTTGGGGATTCTGGTGCCTTTCTCTCTTCTTCGCCATTGATGAACGGAAGAAAGATTGTATGAAGCAGAAGAACGGACCAACCACCGTCTGGTCTCTCTAAACCCTTCGAAACCTTTCTAAGTAGAAACCCTACTACCGCACGTGTGTAGGGGCTCGAGTTTTTTTTGCCCCTAGACTTTTTGAACTTTGATAACTTGCCCCTCGACTTTAATTTGTTTTAATAATTATCCCTTTAACTTACCAAACTCTTGAAATGTGCATCATTTATCAATTTTGCTTTGATTTTTTTTTTTTTATGGGTCAATTTTAAGGGGTTGAGAGTTGAAAATTTAAGGGATTGTTCTTTTGCAATAAAACTCAGAAAAAATTTAAACTCAAGTTATAACTTTATTTAAGTTCATGTTCTTTTAAGTTCCAACTTTACTCAATTTTACTCAACTTTATTCAAGTTACAACTTTAACTCAAGTTATAAGTCAAATTCAACTCAAAAACTACACTAAAGTCACACTCCAAAAGAACAACCCCTAGTTATTTGTATTACTGTTTGAATTGAGATGTTAAAATTTTTAGTCAATGTGTTTTTTATCACCAATTTTACACACCTATCTACAAAATGGGACACTGTTATCGACCCCCGCCTCCACAACTCCTTGGCCATGGCCTCGCTGGTTCCTAGCTACGTTGACAGAAGAAATGGCTCGAGATAGACACAAAGTAACAGAGAATTCTCAAGAGAATGAATAGGCTAAAAGACTCTCCTCAAATTGGAATCCTAATTCGGTTATAACCGTTTTTAGGGATGCGGAATTGAAAACAGAAAATAGCAACAATTTGGAACTTCATCCCCTCTCGTGCGAGTCTGCAACAAGGAAAGAAAGAAAAAAGACTAAATAACAATTAACAAATAACAAAAGACTAAACCACCCTTGACCACTAAAGGACCCTTAACATTGCCTCCCTCTCTAAAGAAATTCCTTGTCCTTAAGGAATGAGAAAATTGGGATAGTGAACCTGCACCATTTCCTTTCTTTCCCATGAAGCCTCTGCGGGGGTACTTCCTTTCCAGCGGATCAACAGTTCTTCTCTGTCAGCCATCACGCGAGTGGCTAAAATTTCTGTGGGTTCTTATGCTGAAGTGAGCTCCCAGTGTGGGGGTCGGTCAGTTCCTACGGCTTGATCCCCCACTTTCTTCCTGAGCAAAGAAACATGGAACACAGTGTGTACCCTGCTTCCCAGGGGAAGTTCTAGTCGATATGCCACGACCCTAATTCTCTCAAGCATTCGATAAGGCCCAAAGTATCGAGGCGAAAGCTTATGGTTCTGGCGGTGTTGTACCAAGCGCTGCCGATAGTTTTGCAGCCTAAGATATACCCAATCTCCTACCTCAAACTCCCTATCAGTATGTTTCTTGTCATAAACCTGTTTCATGCGGTTTTAGGCAGCAACCAGATTGGTCCGTAACAGTTCAATAACCTGGTCTTGCGCATGCAAAGTCTCATCGACCTCCGCCGTCTTAGCTGTTCCTAGGACATAACTCAAAAGGTTATGAGGGGTCCTTCAATAGACTACTTTAAATGGGGTGGTCTTAGTGGCGGAATGCCAATCGATATTATAACAATATTCAGCCCATGGTATCCAGCGTACCCAGTCCTTAGGCTTAGCCCCCGTGAGACACCGCAAATACATCTCAATGGTCCTATTTACAACTTTCGTTTGGCTATCGCTCTGAGGGTGGTAAGCGGACGAAAAATTAAAACTGGTACCCTGGAGGCAGAACAACTCCATCCAAAAATAGCTGGTGAAAGTGGGGTCTCGATCACAAATGATTTATTGCGGCATGCCATGGAGGCGAAAGACATCCTCAAAAAATAGTTGGGCCACCGTTTCTACTCTGTACGGATGAGCCATAGGCAAGAAATGGCCATATTTGGATAATCTATCCACCACCACCAAGAGGACGGATTTCCCTTGGGACCTTGGAAGCCCCTCCACAAAGTCCATTAAAATGTCTGACCATACTCGGGTTAGAATAGGTAAGGGTTGCAATAACCCACTTGGTGACTCTTGGTCATACTTATTTCTCTGACATATATCACATTGACGAATCCACTCCTTCACTCTTGCCTTCATGTGCTTCCAATGAAAACATTCCTTGATCTGCATCACTATTTTGTAAAATTCCTCATGCCCAAAATCATGATACTCCTTTAGAATAACCGGAACAAAGTCAGAGTCCTCCGGCAGATAAATCCTCTCTTTGTAAAACAGAACTCCCCTCTTAACCTCCCAAGGTGCCCCTAGCTCCCCACGTTCGGCTCTCACCCTCAAGTCCTTGACCTCTGCACTTCTCTCATTGAGCTCCACGACCGAATCCCACCAACTTGGACTAGGGAGTGTTATTACACATACCATAGTCATCTCTCCCTTACGTGACAGCCCATATGCCACTAAGTTGTACCTTCCCTGCTTGTACTCTATAGTAAAATCATATCTCATAAGTTTGATAATCCATCTTTGCTGCATTTCCGTAGTGACTTGTTGTTCTAACAAAAACTTTAAGGCTCTTATGGTCCGTTCGTACTTTGAAACACCGACCAAGCAAATAAGGCCTCCAGTGTTGTACAGCTAATGCTAAAGCCATTAGCTCTTTTTCATAGGCGGAGAGGAATATGTTTTTTCCTTTGAGTGCAGTGCTAAAAAAGGCGATGGGTCGCTCTCTCTACATAAGAATAGCTCCCACCCCATACTTAGATGCATCGCACTCCACCACAAACTCCAGGTCAAAATCAGGTAGGGACAACACCGGTGATTCGGTCATAGCCCTCTTCAACCTCTCAAATGCCGCATTAGCTTCGCCTCCCCAACTGTAAGCCCCTTTCTTGAGTAATTCCGTCAAGGGCCTAGCTATCTGCCCATAACCTGCAATGAATCTGCGGTAATACCTGATTAGCCCCAAGAACCCCCACAATTCCTTCACATTCTTGGGCTGGGGCCACAATTTCATTGAATCTATCTTTGTAGGGTCAGCCTTTACTTCCCCTACACATATAATGTGACCAAGATAATGAACTTCACTCTTTGCCAAAGAGCATTTCTCCTTCTTGACGACCAGTTGATTTTTCTCCAAAATCTTAAATACCCTCTCCAAGTGGCGCCAATGCTCTTCCATGCTCAGGCTATAGACTAATATATCGTCAAAGAACACTAAGACGTACTTCCTTAACACCTCTTTGAATACTTCATTCATGAGACTGTGAAAATGTCGAAGGAGCGTTGTTTAGCTCGAACGACATGACCATGAACTTGTAATGGCCGTGGTGGGTACGAAAAGTCGTTTTCTCCACGTCGGTCTCCGCCATTCAGATTTGATGGTACCCTGATCGTAAGTCTAGCTTTGTGAATACTATCGCCCCATGAAGCTCGTCTAGTAGTTCTTCTATCACGGGAATGGGGAACCTATCCATCACGGTAATTTTATTCAATCCCCTATAGTCTACATAAAAATGCCAAGTCCCATCATGCTTATTGATCAACAACATAGGGGATGAGTATGGGCTTCGACTCACCTGAATTATTTTTTGTTTGAGCATGTCCTCCACTCTCTCAATCTCCTGCTTCTTGTAGTGAGGATAACGGTAAGGCCTAAGGCTCACGGGTCCACTTCCCAGAAGTAATGGAATTCGATGGTCTTGCCTCCTTTGAGGGGAAATCCCCAAAGTTCCCCAAACACCGTCGGGTATCTCTTGACCCAAGGTTCCCATTCTTCTCCATCCTTTCCATCCTCCCTCGTTTCCTCCATCAATATGATCTGCAAAACATCCCCGTCCCTATACTTTTCTTCAATGTTTTGTTCATCGTCCTCACCCCCACCTGTTGGGCTTCGGATTGTCCCAGTCTAACCAACCGAATCTCAATTCCATCCACCGTAAATCCCATCTCCATATTACCAAAATTCCACACTATAGGTCCCAAAGTCCTTAGCCATTGAGCCCCCAATACCGCATCACACCCTTCTAGCTCAATTAAGTAAAAATCAATTAAAAATTGAAAGTTTTGTAAGTTGAGTGTTACCTCTCGACACATCCCCGGGCTTCATAGCCTTTCTCCATTTGCCACCATGACCCACAAAGATGAATTTTCCTCGATGAGGAGTCTCACCATTCTCGCCACAGGCCCGCGTAAGAAATTATGGGTCGACCCCAAGTCGATGAGGACCGTGATGGGAATTTTCCCAATCTTGGCGGTGACTCGCATAGTCTGCGGGGTTGCCATTCCCACTAAGGAATTTAGGAATATCTTCGGCTTCTCCTCCCAGGCTTCCTCTAAATTTTCTTTGACCATCGGCTCTCCCCGTCCGGGTGCGCCCCCCTCTTCAATA